ATGCCAGGAAGCGCTGTTTTTCAGTTGCTGCTCTAGAAAGTCCATTGGAGTTGGGTGGCCAATAAATTTAAATAAATTAATTTAAAATATAGCCTCCCCTTGGACTTAAGATTCACACCATCCAATGTTCCAGCAGCTACTTAAGATGGACTTGTTCTGCAGACAATTGGGTGACCAGTGAATTGCTGCCATTTTTAAATTTCCTTTTAATTACAGTTTCATTTGGGTCTTGTAATTCAATTGTGTTATGTTGTTATCATTTTATACTGGTTACAATTTTGATTTTTATGATGCTTACTGTAGACATATTAACTGGTTGCACATTTTTACTGGATTGCTGTAAACTGTCATGATTCTTTATTGATTTGACTGTACACAAATAGAATAAATAAATAAAGCTCATGCTGGTACTCTTTTCTGCCAACTGGCTAGCACTTGAACTCAGCAGTGGGAAGAAAGATTGCTGGGTATCTGGGTAGCAGACTGTTCACTTTAGGCTGCATTGAGCCCTTATTTCTAGTTCTCCCCAAATATGAAACATTTTCAGAGATTCTAGTTATAAAAATCTATCCAGCACCCTGTAAAAAATCCAAATATTTTCCAATGACTAGCTACTTGCATAGTAGTCAATTATAGTCATTGGTTATATGGAAGGAAATATATTTATCAAGGGGATTTAAAAGAACTTTAGAAAGAGTTACTATTTACTTTAAAGTCTTTGTTTTCTCTCTGTCCTTTGAAGTAAAAAAATATTTTTTAACAAAAAGCCAAGGTGGGAAAATGTCAGTCTTCTTTCCTCAGAAATTGCAGCGTTTTACCCTGAGTGACCAGGATCACAAGATGACAAGATAGGTGAGAAACTTCATCCTGTAGGTGGTGAATACCATGTTTAAATATTTTCCTTATTCAAATAATTCCCTGCAAGTAAAAAAGTGAGTACATCAGAATAACAGCCCCGTCTCCCCCCTTTGTATTTATTTTCTGTTTGCAGGAATTGCTGGTTTAGAGAAATGCACATGAATTTGGTCATAGCCTGCAATTCACAATAGTAGCTTCTATTTTACCATCCCTAATTGTACCACCTCATTCTGTAGAGCAAACTTCAGTTCCACAGCCTGTACAGGTTTCTTTGGATTAAAACAAAGCAACATAAAAGAATCATAGGAAATAATCACAGACCACTATGCCTCAGTTAACAATATTCTCTGGATTTCTGATTATCTGGATATCTAAAAATGGCCATATTGAAACAAAAACCCAAAATGACTAATTTGTTTTCCGAAATTCATTTTCACTGCACTAGGAATTTAAGCCTCTGATATCAGTTTTTTTTTTTAGTTCACTGAAAGTGAACGTTAGGAAAACAATTCATTTCAACAAAAATCCAGCCAGATTGCTTTCTGTATACACATTAGTCCTAAACTATTACCTAAATATTCAACTATAATATTCCCTCAGGTTGGAAACATCTGGATTAGATATGCCCTTGGCATTGGGTTGCATATCTTCCTCCTTCATAGAGCAGCTGCAGAAGAATGGAAGAGCTTAACCACCAGAGGACTTCTTATCTTCTTAAAAACCAATTAGGTATCTTCTGTTGAGGCACGCAACCCTCAAACATGCCAGTTCACTATGATGGGAGGAGGAAATGAAGATAAACTGAAGTTCAGAAATATATGACCCACATGGCTCAAATGACTTCAAGCCAAGGATTCACTGTAGAGCTCAACCCAATCATATTTCAAATGACATTTTTTTAACCAAGCAGGGCATGAGTTCTGTAAAGATAAATAAATCCCTTGGCTTCCAGATGGAACCAGATTAATGGATAGGGAAACTACGATTGACCTGTTTTAGACTGGCCACGTCTCTTGCTTTATAGAAGATATTTGAAGGACTGACAAGGACAGCCAATATCAAACAGCCCTCTGACTGAAGGCTGTCCAGTCCTGGTCCACTTTAAAGGTAAAGAATTGTCCTTCAACACCTTCCAGACTGAGCCGGCATGCAGGCCACTCCATTACCTTCTTATTTGGGAATGGGACTTCATGCCCACTTGACACTCTCCCCAGTTCATTCTCCTGGCACCACTGCACTCCCTATATTCCATCTTCTCCAACTACTTATACTATGCTTTTTCAGATTTTGCAACTGCCCTGTAGTGAAGAGCTACAGTTTTCCTACTCTAATGGTAAAAGTGGTTTTAAAACTGGATCATGTGTTTTACATGATTTTTTCCTACCATTTCTTTGGGCCTCAGCTTGTGGGAAGAGATTTATAAAAAGGAACTCAAATCTTGAGATTAAAAAAAACCTCAAAATGTTTTTCTTAAGGCATTTTTTCCAGTGTGCATTTATGCTAAGTATACAGCTGTGAATCATTGTAAGATTGATATTTTTATTTTTTTAATTTCATTTCTGCATACGTGCACTTGAAGTTAAGCAATCTGAAATGGCAATATTACCACCTGCTTTTTCTGCAATCACAACGGTATAGGTGGCTTGTGGCATGTGTTTGCACTATTCCCACAATTAAAATGTATGGATATGTCACAGAATCAGAGTGGTAAGTGGCTGTTTTGTAGGAAAGTTGAGATAGTGTTGGCAAATCAACTACACAGCACCTTAGATTAAGTTGTCTTGGCTTTTTTCAGGCAGGGTTCAAGTGTGGGTATGGGACTGAGATGGCACCTTTATCAGGACCTAGATAGGGGTAGTGTGTCTCTCCTGGTCTTTTCAGTAGCATTCAATACCATTGACTATGGTATCTTCCTGGATTGCCTACGGGGATGGAGACTAGAGGCACTGTTTTATCCCTTCCTCAGCAGACAGTTTCAATTCGTGGGGGGAGGAAAAGAAGCTATCTTGGTGGCATCTGTCTTGTGGAGTGCTGCAGGGGTCAGCCCTTTGTCCTCTACTCCTCAAAATAACAACAACTTGGAACAGCTTATATCCTGCGATGATACCTTTAACACCATCAAAAAACATCTGCCTATCCCAGGTCCTTGGGAAGGACTCAGTCGGTGAATAAAAATGCCAAATCCAATTTAAACATCTGGCTAACCGTGTGACCAATAATAATGATGATGCATATGCTGCCCAACTCCCAGCAACTCTACACAAAGCTGCTGGGAGGGGTCATCCAACAGTTTGAAATGTGGTATCATACTGATGTTACTGAGCCTGACAACGCCACTGCTGGCTGTATGAGAGATTCTTGAATATCCTATCCAGGAGCCTGGAAAGAATTTGGATGGAACCAGAAAACTGAAGTTGAACCAAAGCAAGACAGAGGTCCTGTTTGCACTTTGGAACTCTTTGTTGTAACCAGTGTTACTTCTGGATGGGTAGGCACTAGTTTTGAAACAGGCTCACAGTTTGAGGGTCCTTCTGGACTTATAGCTCCTGTTTGAGTAGTACATGGAAGCCATTGCTAGAGAGACATTTGTGACTTTATCTGGTACAAAAAGACCTGGTTATAGTAACCCACACCCTTATTACCATCCTGCTGGACTACTACAAGGGGTTGCCTTTAAAGACTATTTCAGAATGGAGTGCCTTGTGTGCTACAGCATTTGATGCTAAAAGTATGTTACACTTATGCTATAGGCCCTACAAGTGCTTTCAAATGGTTTGCAAGTACATTTAAAGTATGATTTTGACCTATAAAACCCTTTATGACTTGGTACGTGGATACCTGCAGGATCCAACCAGAATTGGATCAACCTATCAGGTCATCTAGGAAAAAACTGCTCTTAGCTCCTTGCCCCCAGAAATTGAAGGGAATGAACTAAAGCCAGGAGATGCTGCTTTTCAGCAGCAATGATGGTTCTTTGGATTAGGCTCCCGGTAGAGATCAGACTGGCTCCCTCCCTGATGTCGTTTAGGATGATGCTTAAAACAGTGGATGTTCCAAAGAGCATTCTAGTTCTATTAGTTATATGGGCCCTCTTTAACTTTTTTTTATTCAATTATTTGGTTTTTTAAATTCTTCTTGTTTTTAAATTGTGTTATTTCAAGATTTATCATGGATCTTTTAAAGATTTCTATACTGCATCATGTAAGCCACTGACAACCACTGGATTGTGGCAGGATACAAATTGAATAAATAAAAATGAGATCAAATGAAATCAAATAATTATACATGTAGTGAATATTATAGTACCTAAAATTAACATAGACCTACTAATTGCATTTGAAAAAAACATCTGCACTGCAGTGCTTCAGAAATAAAAAAGATTCCTGTATAGATTCAACATCTTCCCCATTATAGTAAGATGTACTGTATTTCTATTTAAATTATCTGTACATAAAAAAATACAGAATGTATTTCTTTTCCCCAACAATGTCAAAGCTATATGTCAATGCTATATTGTATATATGTAAACTTCTATAGATTTTCTGAGAATGAGTCCGTGTTTGCTGGAAGTGCATAACTCAGTGTTGTCCAAACTTGGCCACTTTAAGATGAGTGGACTCCACTCATCTTACAGTGGCCAAGTCTGGACAACACTGGCATAACTAAAAAAGTCCTCTCCATGGAAGGATTATAAAAATATATATGTGGTGAAGAAGGCAATGTGCCCTTTGGCCAATTCACACCCTAACTTCAATAACTTAGGATGGTCTGGAAGATCTACCACGTAGGTATAACCATGTTTAGCTAAAGCCATTACAACTCTGCAGGACTGGGAACTTGGTGCAAGTGGAGTTCTTGAACAAACTGCATGGAGGGTTTTAACCATGTTCCATCAAAGGCTGAAAAAGAGAAAAAGATATTCCTGTGATTGTTTTGCTGGCTAATGAGTAAGTGTAATTATATATGAATCATTCATTTCACGTGTTTTGATGTTTCTTGTCTGTTTATTTAATAACTCCATGGAGGTTAATCTTTTGTGGTACAGTCCTGAAAACAAAGTGAGAAAGATTCCTCTTCTAAGCTACTGTTCACCATGAATGGAAACAGCCACTGGCACCAAAAATATTTCTGAAAGAAACCAATGGAAATTAAAATTTTTATTTATATCTTAATATCCCAACATGAGAGAGAGAAGAGAGAGAAGACATTTGAGCTTTTCCTTTGGTTAAGGCAGAGGTAGGCTACCTAAGGCACTTTTTGGCAGACCTGGAATTCCTTGAACTGCCCTATTATAATTTGGTGGCACAATTGCCTAAAATCAGCAACATAGCTTCCCACTATATTAAGGCAGAAAAAACAATAAAAGCATTGTATAAGCTCTAAAATAAGCTTAATATTTCTTTAAGAATAGCGGCTAAGAAAAACAAATTAAAAAAAAAAAGTCGGGGGAAACTGAAACAATAAATCTGGAAAATGACATCTTCCCCAAGTGAATGACATATTTTCACCTACTTTCCATCCCTGCTTATCCACTGTGGCACTCACTCACTCCCCCCCACTCCCAGAATTAAGTAGGATTCCAGTCGCCAAAAGGATGCAGACCCTGGGTTACAGAGTTGTCAACGAAACAGAAAAACAAGCAACATGTTATAAATGATGAGGCTGTGATTAAAAAAATAATATATATATATATATATAGGACAATGAGAAATTACACGCATTCAGAAATTGATTTTCCCATTGTATGTATGAGCCTAGAAAGAAGATGGGAGATCATCATGAAATCCCAACATGGGATTAGATCAGGAAGATGAGAACATACCTCAGAAGAAGCAAGGCTAGTGTTGTTACCAAAAAAGTTACATGGCTATGCCATGACATTACCAGGAGTTGAACTTGTTGGATGGTTTTGTCTCTATAGCCAAAGCAACACTGTAGCTCACAATGGTTCCATATGTATACCTAAACTCAATCCACACTTCAGTGGTATCCCAAATCTGCTACTACCTGACTCACTGAATTCAAATGAATCTGGAGTGAAGCATCTAATGTGGTTGCCAGATAGAATTTCCTAGCAACATCACATATTTGTGTACCTGCAACAAGCATTCCTGAAGATAGTCATTTCATACGGCCACAGGATTTTTTTAGGATATTAGGAAGGTCCATGCTGTAAACCACATTAGACTTTTTTGTCAGAGGTAGGCTGGATTGGCCTGCCAAAGTAATTTCTACAGCAACCACAGTCTGGGCTGTACCGTACTTGGAGGGTGAACAGAGGCAGAATATAGGCAGAAATTTAATGAAATGCACAACTGCCCAACTCGCGTTCTCTTATTTTCTGCTAAATCATGATTCTCTTGTACTCTTCAAAAACAATAGAAAGGAGGCCACCACAAAATGCAAGGAGGGTATAAGCTCCCAGGCTTTCGTATAATTTGAGCAGTGAAGTAAAATACTGTACTAATATTACTGCTACTATTATTCCTACTAAAACTACATTACTAATCACTGCTAGTATTATAACCACAGCTTCAGCCAAAATGTAACCATGGGGAAATTATTAAACAGCTAACATGACTAGTAAGTTATACTAGTCACAGAAGTGGGGCATAATTTAAAGCCAGTGGGCTAGAGCAGGGGGGGGGGAGGGAAAGGGAGAGATCTTTTGGCTTCACTGGCTCTAAGATTAACTAAGCACTTTTTCTGCATCTCACTCCTTTTTCAGCTGTAGAAGGAAAGGCTCCCTTACGTGAACCTGAATGATTGTTTTTGCCTCTGCTTGTACAATTCTCTTTTCCACAGGTCATCCTCAGCTGAGGTAGAACTGCCTCAATAACTTTAAACTGCCACTGTGGATCTGAGATCACTCTACAAATTAAGCAGTATGCCCAGGAGGGGTAGGGAGCTCTACTACGTGAAAAAAAGTACAAGTTCAAGGATAATTCATACGGTATTAAAGATCAAGAAGTCAGCACAGAATCTCCATAAACCCATCCACTGTAAGAAATATCCAGAAATGACATTCTTCATTTTTAAAACTTTCCTCAGTCTTTTCCTGCAGTCTTTTCCTGTGAGAATCAGGTTGCTAGTCCATCCTTTTAAAAAACAAAACAAAGCAAAAACAACTTCAGGACGTTTTTATAAAAAAAGAAGGACCAAGAAAACATGCATATTCACATTGATAAACTTATGCATGTTTTTAAAAAAAAAAAAAGGCACATGAATGGTGGCCAACATTCTTGGGCCAGGTGCCTTTGTTTTATTCTTGTTTTTTTGCTGCTGTAAATTCACTTCTAGGCATTGTATCAATGGAGATGAATCAATGTATCTATGAAGAAGCTTTCCATCAACACAGATATTTTTGCCAAATGTCAGGATTTGACATTTGATGCTTTTATCTGCTATCAGCTAAATCACTCATCCTAAGACTTTTCTTTCTGCTCATCTGATACTGAACTAAGCTGTGTGGCTAATCAAATAAACAGCTATAGATCTGGCATCCAGTCCTTCTTGTTGTTAAACAGCAATATTTCAATTAGTCCCCTTGTTCTCTTTTGTGTAATCTCCATATCCTAGTGCTTTTTTTTCTTTTATGTAGTGCCCCTTGTGAAGGAGAGAAAAACAAAGGGTGTCTCAAGGGTGCTGTCTTTGCTTTCAGATGAAATATTCTTTTCGGTTCTCATCCATGGCATCTTGAAGGGTAGGGTCATTTTTCAGAGCAGCATCTGCGCTTTCGGCAAATTCAGTTCCCTTGGCTTCATTGGTATGGTAGGTGCCCTTGTGTCGGTACATGTATCTCAGCATCACCACCAAGAGGCAAATCAAGACTAAAACCACAGCTGCTATGACACCTACAGGGAGGAAGAAACATTTGCATTTTCTTTTCCATTTCAATTAGCCTAAATCCACCCCACCCCCCGTTTTGATTTATTTTACATGGATGCCTTCTGTTAGGTCTTTCAAGGAAAAAGCATGCATAGATAACAACACCATATCAACAAAGGGCCCTGACATTGTAATGATAAAGCTTCTTTGAGAGAAAGAGCACTTGCAAAAGAAAAAAACAAGGAAATTTCAAGGGAATGGAGATGCCCTAGTTCTCATTCTGGTTAACTTACAGTTATATCAGTTGATCGTTATTTGGGCAAATATGCTGAGATTTTCTGACTGTCTTATCCAACACTTCAAGAGGGGACCAGCTTCAAGAAGGCTGCAGTATGAAACAGAGCTCTAAAAAAAGTCTATATGAGAACTGGCTATAGATTTGTGTGAGGATTATATATTTATTTATTTATTTATCTATCATATTTATATAGCCGCCCATCTCACACAAAGTGACTCTAATCCAATGCAACTTCCAACTACTTTGTTGCATGAACAAATCCAAGCATTGCCTAACCAGAATTTACACTCATTTGAACAAATAAACAAGTAAATTGTTAACGCTTATCAATCTAAGTTTTAACTGAGAGTAAACTCAATTCAACTTGTAGAAGATGAGCAGAAGGTCCTAGTAATTTTTTGCACTTTATGGAGTGGGCATTCTATACAATTTTATTTCTTCACCATCCCTGCCAATGGCTCATTTCATAGCTCTGACTAAACACATGGCAGCTTATGGAGTGAATCAGAAGATAGTAAAAGATTCTGATGGGAAATCAGAAACTAGCTGGAGATTTCAAGAAACACTTGGTTTAGTAAGGCATGTTACTAAGGGCAAAGATGCTCTTCCGCCTCAGATGTTGCTCAGCAACAAACTTCTTTTACCTCTGCCTACCCAACTAGCCTGCATACAAACTGATCCAGCACTTTTTATTTGACTCACTAGTTGTGATGTGGTCCCAGATGCGGGCAGTTCAATTTTTGAGGCTAGCATAGTATCAGGCTAGAAATAATAGGCCTGTGCAAGGTGGCCATGTTTCTTCTTGACAAGGTGCAGCAATTATGCAATGTGCCTTGATGCTTAACACTGTGTTGTTTTGAAACCTCTTCTGGCACATTCAACCCACAGAAGCAGTGTGAATCTAAGCACCATGGCAGTTTCACTTCACTTTTTAGAAGCGGGGGACACATTGCTTTGCAGTGTGCTTTGCTCAAAGCATCATTGGAGCGAAGCACACCTTCAAAGGGTTGGACAGCTCAAATGTTGGGTCTAAATAAATCTCTTTTTCCTCAGAGCTAGTTCACAATAATTAACATTAGAACCTCGGTTAAGATGTTGAATGTACTAAAATAATGTTATTCAATTCACAGAGAATTCATCATTTTTTAAAGGATTACAGTGGACTCCCCAAACACAATAGGCTGTAATGCTCTTTAGATACTGCACAGTATTAATAAGCCTCAGGAAAGTAGAACAATTCAGTATTTCTCCTAGTGATATGTAGGATGTTGAAATTAATATTCCGGAGGATGTAACCAAAGGGAAATACACAGAACTTCACTAATTTGCACTAACAGTACAGGTAGTTAATTGCTGAAAACAACAAGCACAAATGCATTTGAAAAAAAAAAAGGATTAAATCATTCACGTTAACACATAAAATACTCCTTTTGGGAGTCATCTGAGCAATCAACTTCAGTTATCATGACAAGGTGCTAATACTATCTCTTGCTAACGGGATTAGAGCTCAACATATTTTTGCCTTTGCAGTTTTCACCAGGGAATAATTCTTTTACAGACAGTTGATAATCCCTGTCTCCTGTGGTTTGTGGGGAGAAGGAAGTAGCTGGAGGGAGAAGAAGAGACTTAACATTGCAAAGCTTGGGGATAATAACATCTGGGGTCCTGTAAAACCAGAAACAAAATAGATCAGAAACTGAGTGAGGCATCTCATTTTAGCAACTAGCACCAGCAGTAGCAGAAGGAGAGATTGTCAACGAATTGGTAGGAAGTTTTAAGGACTGGGAAGACTGGAAGGAAAGATGGCATGCGACTTTTCTGATCATCAGATGGGCTCAAGCAATCTACTGAATTATTTCCAGTTCTCTTAGAAATAATCTAGTGCATGTCTGCACCAAAGTAACCTGCATAGGACCATTCGCTACTGCAGTGTTTCTCAACCTTGGCAGCTTGAAGATGTGTGGACTTCAACTCCCAGAATTTCCCCTCCCGCCGCGCGGGTGGGGGGGGGACTGGGGGGGGGGGGCGAGCACATTCCATCTACCCCAGCTCTGAAGCGATGGACGA